TACTACCAGGATGTAAAACATGTAAGAGTGAAGTTTTCGCTTAACAGTAACATAATTTTGGTTGTAATGTCTACATATATTTTTAAACAAAGAGAGTTATCTTCTATTACATTCTTCATCGTGTATTCTTAGAGTAAATCTAATTTTTATTATTCGCATGTCAGATTTAGCAGCAAGGCTAATTAATACAGCAAAAACAAACTCGTAGTTATCGTAATTAGGCTTGACACAGTCATAAATGCGAAAAATAAATCATTATTCATCTTGTCTGAATGAAGTCAAGGTAGCTTCCACGTTTATAACTTTTGACTACTTCTAGATACAACAGTAATTCAGTATGTTCAAGGATTGGCTGTGAGGTGCTTGTGCACATAACTCCAACGACGTCTAGAGAATTACATGTAGATGTTTTGTTGCGTATCTGCTTGTTTGTTCATTTCCCGTAGAAATTCTCTCCGAGAAACTTCAGCGATACAAGTCCTTTCTTAATTAAAACTAGTTTATTCTTTCTCGATACAACTTTGTAATACACTCAATTTCCACAGTCACTTTAAACTTAACAACCTTACAACACACGCTATAAATCACAGCGATTCACACACTTTACTCTGGAGAAGAATACCATCTTCAAGCTTGAACTGGTCCCATTGTGCCCAATAGTTCTTTGTCACAGGGCTTAGACTAGACACCTTCTCCCAAGCAGGGCACAAAACACTTGCTTTTAGAAAATCAATTATTGGCTTCAAATATTGGTCTTTCTCCTGCTCTGCTTTAATATCTATACCTGGTTCCACTTCACCATTATCAACTCCTTCAGTCACTTTGATTTCACCTTGATGACACCTGGTTAGCTAAACCTCTCCTTTAACACTTACCGGAATTTGGCCTGTGTTGTTCCTAAACATCATTTTATCTAAATTAACCACACACTTCCTCGGTAGTAAGTAGTCCAGCTCTAGGATGCATGTGTCTTCATTGTCAGCCAAGTATACTTTATGTCTGTCCTTTATGCCCATGAGCTCAATAGTTACCCACATCAGTCCCTACAACCTTGCATAGTGTCCTGTCACACCACAGAGCTTCTGTAGGGCATCTGGTACTCGTTTGTGATCCAGCACCTT